TGTGTGTGTGTGTGTGTGTGTGTGTGTGTGTGTGTGTGTGTGTGTGTGTGTGTATATAACCGGTTCTCAGACATGAGGTGGACGGCTGTTTTTGCTCGGGTCAGTCTTGTCCAGTCTAGGCTTTCTGTCCGGCGGCCTTATATCGGACTAACGTACAGCAGTAACAGTGAGCGAGGAAGGGAGTGAGCGAGGGAGGGAGGGAGTGAGCGAGGGAGGGAGGGAGTCTCACGGAATACCGTTGCCGTAAGCGCTGTGTCACGTCTCTGCTAGTGTCACCTTGTCAACTATGAAAGGTTGCCTGTCACCACGTACGACGTGTAAAATATACGTACGTACGTGCATGTATGTGCGTGTGTGTGCAGGTACGCGTGCGTGTGTGTATGTGTGTGTGCGTATGCGCGTGCGTGCGTGCGCGCGCGTGTCTGCACGCTCATGCGTTCGTTCGTTCATTCATGCATGTGTGTGTGTGCAGGTGTGAGTACGTGCGTGCGTGTACGTGCGTGTACGCGCGTGCGTGTACGTGCATGCTTGACTCGACCACCTACATCGATGTTAGGCGCGGTGCCGCGTTTTTGCACGTGGCAAATATCCATTAGCAAAACACGTCGTGGTAATGGTAGCCTGTTATTCCTCGCTTGTCTATAACATCACTGCTACGGCTACTGCTGATATTGCGAATTCTTTCCCACCCTCTCCTTCCCTCTCCCCGCTCGCCATCACTCTCTGCCTGTCGTTTGTCTGTCAGTCTGCCAATTGTCTGTCTGTCTGTCTATCTGATTGGCTGTCTCTTTATTTCGTCCTCTGGCATATCTCTGTCTCTTTACCTGTCTTCCTCTTTCTATTTCTGTCTGTCTCGCTCTCTCCTGTTTCCTTGGAGATGGGATTTGCTGGTGATGGCAAGCATGTCCGTTGCATGATCACTGCCGCCCGTGTGTATGCTCGTGCCTGATTACCTACCCGTGTTCTTACCAGCCCCGCTCGTGCCGGGGTGGGTGGGGGGGAGTAGCACGGCAGTACGGAAGCGGCGTAATAACGATTTTCCCGAGCTCATTTTCCCGAGCTCATTTTCCCGAACTCATTTTCCCGAGCTCATTTTGAGGACGAGTGCTTATATGTGGGTGTCGCGTGACAATAGTCATTGTCGATAATTCGCCGTTTAACGAGAGAATCTCCGTCGGCCTCCGAAATAAAATGCTCGCAATCTGTCGGAATCTCATTTCGTGCACGTGGCGAAGCGTTTCTCCTGTGGTATGAAACAGTGTACGTGCGCGTCTCTGCAATTATGTGCTCTCACGCTGCTGTCTCTCTCTCTCTCTCTCTCTCTCAATCTCTCTCTCTCACACACACACACA